GGAGGGCCCAATTATGTTTTTTCCTTGGTTGACTAACAAAAGGAAGGAAGTAAAAGGGCTGGGCAGTGGGAGGACTTACGACAGAGCAGAGAGAAAAAAAATCAGAATTGAGAGAGGAAAGGTGCTGGTGCAGAATGTACAGACCAGCCGCACAAATTCGATCATCGCCGGAGATCCAACCGTTGGATTGAGCTGAAATTTTCAGAGGTTGTTCCCAACACTTAGGGCTTCAATCTGTTCAATTTTTCTGTCAATCGGAGCTACGGATCTTCTGTAATTGCAGCTGGTGCGACGCTGCGTTTTTGGGTGATAATCCTGATTTTCCTTCTCTATTGTTGATGGCTCTTATGTATGTTGTTGTTGGTGGGCTGTGACATCCTTGTAGACTGAGTTTGGGTGTTTTTACCCTCAATTTGCATAGTAAGAGAAGAAGAGGGCGGACTCCCTATAAGTCCCGTGGTTTTTATCCTTCACATCGAAGGGGTTTTCCACGTATAAAAATCGTGTGTCGTTTGCATCTTTATTCTTCATATTTGGTTGTGGTTTATTTGATGTGTTGCTGATTTTGTGTGCTTGGTTAATCAATTGTGGTAAATTGGGTTAAGTGTTTGGTTGGTTGTCTTGAAGTTGATCCTTGTAGGTGTCGTATCTTACTTGTTGCTTCTCCCCCAACAAAATCATGAACCAAGTTATGGAAAGTAGGGTGGTTGGTCCAAGAGTTAATGAATCTGAATGGTTTTGGCCCTCCTTTGTCTTCTTTAGTGCATTGTAAAAGTAGGGGTTTATGGTCAGAAGTAGCTTTGCTTATGTGCTTTACAGAGATATCATCATAATGAACCAGAATTTTGTTGTTCACCAACACTCTGTCTAGCCTTCTGTAGACCATACCATTCCTCCTTCCCCCAGACCAAGTGAAGGCAGAACCTATAGTTGGGGGGGTAGTGAGATCACAGGATTCCATGCACTCTTTGAAATCATCCATATCTGATTGCTTGGGGAGGTTCATGCCTTTATGTTCTGGCCATTCTGCTATAATGTTGAAATCTCCTCCAACTACCCACTGACATGCAGGTGATTGGAGTGAATTCAGATCCTGCCACAGTTTCCTCCTTTCTAAGCCAGAGTGCTTACCATATACAGTGGTAATTCTTGTATTCTCATCATTAATAGTGAAATCACAATTGAGAAATTGGTCCCCTTGAGAGCTGTTGTTGAAACATAGGGCTTTCTCATGCCAAAACACCCATATTTTATTTGAGGTAGAGCCAAGGAAATTAGAAAAACCCATTTGCTTGCTGTAGAAGTGAATCTGGTCAGCTGAAACAATGGGTTCAATAACTGCAAGGAAACAGAAGCTATGATTTTTATTCAGCACCTTGATCCTTTTGAGAGAGGACCTAACTCCGCATACGTTCCAAAATAGCAAAATCATTTAAGGCTATGAAATATGAAGTCTTTATGCCCTTTGTGGCTTCTGGTGATCATACTTGTAGAAGGGCCTAACCTCTTGGATGTGTTTTTTTGGAACTGCTATTGAGATTGAGTTGGATGTAGGTATTTGGAAGGCCCTGGGAGTTAATGCAGATTGATCAAGAATATCACTACTTTTTCCACCCTCAGAGTGGTATCCATAATCTCTAGTATCTGGCACCATCTCCTGCATATTGGTATCATGGATTTCCTCAATAAGCATGGCAAGTCCCTTCTCAGGTGAGTGATTATGAAGACAGTCATCAAAGGAACCTTTCCTTGGCTGATCTTTTGCCATTCCAGTACTAACTGTAGTTTTGGAAGTAACAGGCATTTTTTTTGGAAGCAAAGGCTTTTGCTTCAGAAAGGGGTGGAAAAATTGGGTTGAACTCTTGCAGTGGGGGGTCGGAGGGATTGGTAAGATTAACCTTGTCACCCAATAATTCACTCTCCACATTACATGGTAATTCTCCAGCATAATTATCCAGTAGGTCCAGCAACATGAAATTATTGGTGTTTTGGTTCACATATCCTTTCTTTTTCCATTCAAAGATGGTGGGGCCCTGTCTGACTATATTATTATTGTGCTCTGATTGATTGGGTGCCCTGTTTCCATTTGTCTTTTTTCTCTTGATTTCCACCCATCCATTCTGATACTCAGGAGATATGCCCGTCTTACCCTTGCCGGAGGGAGCTTTTCCGGTGGGTAAATGGTGTTGGTTTAGAGCATGAAAATCATGCTTGTGACCAAGCTTTTTGCAGAGGGTGCAGTACAGAAGTCTATATTCATACCCACAATTGGTAAATAAGTCCCGAGCACCAAGTCTGATGTGAATTTTGGAGGGAGGGGGGATGGATAAATCTATCTCAATACACACCCTTGCACTTTCCCTCCTATCTCTACTGACTGTGAAATCATCCATTTTTACAGGTCTCCCCAATAATGAACTAATGGTGAAAAGAGACGGGAAGTCAATGAGGTGAAGAGGGAGCTTTTCAAAAGAGACCCAAACAGGATAAAAGGGACAATCCTCAGTAGATTTGTATTCAGTACTCCATTTAAAAACATAGAAGGGGGTATTATGAACATACCATGTTTTCTTAAGAAGGAATCGTAGGTAGTCATTCTCTTCTTTGAAAGTGAAAAGGACATCGAACTTGTTGATTCTCCTTATTTTGAAAGCCTTGAACCCCATTTTAATAAGGAGTTCCTTTAGATGTGCGAGGTGTACCTCCCTTTTGAACCTGCCCATAGTAGAGTGATGCATTTTACTGGCCAAATGCATCTCTTCCTCCTGACTGAAACTCACTGATGGGCATGAGTTATAAAAGCCTTCAACTTTTCCAACTGCTTGGGTGTTAGATTGCTTAAAAAGGTCTGAGAAGTGTTTGACAAATTTGGGGGACTGGTCCTTCTCTGGGCGCTTACTGCCTGTCGGAAATATGGCCAGAAGGGAGGCCGGAAAGCTCTTCCTTCTCTCTAACCTCTCCATTTTTTTCCTATATATATATATATATATATATATATATATATATATATATATATATATATATATATAGGTTCTGATGAGAATGCGATCTTATGAAAGAAATATGAATGAATCTGGTACTTTAGATTGTGAGATCTAAGGGTCAGGATTGCATCAAAATTATGTGCACCAAAATGATTTAAAAATGCATCATGTCGAAATAAGATTATTATATTTCTAGTACATCTTTTATTTCTAGGTCTCAGTACTGTGCTAGAAAATGCTCGACTTAAATAGTTCTAAATCCTCATAAACAAGGTAAGAACTAATTTCCAATTACTTAATTAATAAAATGTTTAGTATGATTAATTAGTTAAAACCATTCCAAACGGTTATTTCTAACCTTGCCAATTTCTAGGTGTTTGGAATGTGTGGCTTAATTAATCTTATTACCTCATAGACAAGATAAAAGATTAATTTCCAAGGATTAATTAATAATTAAAACAATTCTATTGATTAATCATTATTAAATCATTTTATAGCAATTAATCCAATTACTAATTAAAAGATAAAATTAATTTGGTTAAATCTTAATTCCAAATCCTAACCTATGTGAAATTACTAATTCATTTTCTAACATCAAATATCATCATAGCAACATATAAAATTCCCAAAGACATTTCGATCATCAATATAAATCAAAGTAAACAAAATGATATTTTATTATTAAAAGGTTCAATAATGATTACAATAAAAAGAAAAGAAAAACTTACAGTGCTCTAGAACTAGAAAATTAACTCTCGAGAAAGAATATTTGGCTAACACAATTTTAATACAATATTCTAGGACAAAACGAAAGGGAATTTTCCCTTAAAAGGGGGAAAATTGCAAGGGAAAAGCTTGGTAGAAGTGATGGAGTCCACCTCTATTTATACTACTTCATCTCTAAGATGGTGGATGGTTGTTCTGTAGAGCCTTCCATAATTCTAGAGAATTCCTTCTTCTACACTCTTCCACAAAAGACTCCACATTTCTCTAAAGAATTCCAAAGGCTTCCATATTCTTCCATAAGTCTCTAAAAATTTCTATGCATTTCCAGAATGTTCTTGAGGCTTTCAAATTTATCCACATTTCTCATATGCTTCAAGAAAATTCTACACACCTCTAAAGTTCTCCAGGGAATTCAACTCTTCTATAAAAAAACCTCTAGAATTTTCCGGAACCTTTCTTCTATTTATGCCAACTACAAATTCCGCACCTTTTGAGAATTATTTTTCTATTGAAATTTGACTCTTTTTATTCCATTCTTGGCCCAATTTTGCATACTAATTCAATGATATTCTTTTTATGATCAGATTATCAAAACATAATATTTTGATGAAAAAGAATAAAGAACTGATTGATTTGATAATTAAAATGGTACATGAACGTATTAAATATGTGTAAAAAGATAAGTACGAAACAGACTTATCACTCCCACTGCCATAAATGCCTCTCACGGGCCTCCTTGAACCTTTCCTTGCTCGTTCATCCTGAGTCTGACCTTTGGCTCTGGGTTTCTTTCTTGCATAGACAACCTTCTTCTGCCCACGAGACTCTGTGAACCGGACTTCGTTTCTCTTCTTAATTGGGACGGTCACTTCCTCAGATGGTAACTCGACCATATATAGCGAACCTTTCTTCCTTTCGCAGGCCATGACAAGATTTCCCTTCACTACCTTCTGCTGCCCATCTCTAAACTTCACCTCATGTCTTTGTTCGTCGAACTGCCTGACAGAAATCAAACTTTTCTTCAAGGCTGGAACCACTCTGACATCCTTCAAAGTCCAGAAACCGACTGCGGTCTTCAACACCATGTCACTCATGCCTGTCACCTCAAGAGCTCTATCATCCGCAAGTCGTACCTTTCCAAAGTCTCTAATAACCAGATTCTGCAATGCTTCACCGCTGTGGGTGGCATGATATGAAGCACCAGAATCCATGACCCAGGAATCCATATTGCTTTCCTCACAGCTACTCAAGGTGACCTCCTAATCACTCGCAGAGCCTTTAGCAATGTTCACTTTCTTATCATTCGGGAATTGATTCCTAAAATGCCCCACCTCCTTGCACTTCCAGCATGTTACACCTGAGCTATCCCGAGTCTTCGACTGACTCCTTTGTTTCTTCTTGCTCCTACTACCTCTGCTATTCCTTCTGCCTCTACAAACATGAAGCAATCCACCATATGACTCCCCTGAACTCTTTCTTCTGACATCCTCGCCAAGAACGAGATCTCGAATCTGATCAAAAGTGAATCCATTGGGTCCCAGTGAACCAATAACCGCTACAACTGTTCCGAACCAACTATCAAGCAAAGACGATAACAGTAGCAAGGCTTGAACGTCATCATCAACCTTAATCTCCACTGATGCAAGTCTGGTTAATATTGAATTCAGCTTATTGATATGCTCGGTAACTAAAGTCCCTTCTTTCATCCTTGTGTTCACCAGCTCTCTTATAAAAAAAAATTTATTCGCTACAGATGGCTTCTCGTACATGTTAGATAGTGCTTCCATGATTTCCTTTGCTGTCTTCTCCTTCTGAATGTTGAACGCAGCATTCTTGGTCAACGAGAGACAGATCACAGATGACGAACTGCGTATAGCGGTAAGTCAACAAATAACCGAGTTGGACTCGGGTCGTTCTCTCCAGGAGTGACGAAGGGAATAATTAGTTTTATTATTTATCACAGGCTAATTTCTAGTCTAATAATCTTAAAAGGATGTGAAAAAATAAAGAACTCAAGAAATTAAAATAATTAAACAAACAACTTCATGAGTAAGGATCAGAACTCAGACTCAACACAATTTAACTCATCTTTTAATCGGGAATTGGATTAATGAAATGTGCAGAACTTATGTCCAATATATCTCCTATTTTTAGGTCTCAATATAGAACATAAAATGCTAATCGTATATTTAACACATCTCCTATTTCTAGGTCTCAGTATTAAATTATAAGATAATTATATTTCCAGTACATCTCCTATTTCTAGGTCTCAGTACTGTGCTAGAAAATACTCGACTAAAATAATTCTAAATCCTCATAGACAAGGCAAGAATTATTTTCCAATTACTTAATTAATAAAATGTTTAGTATTATTAATTAGTTAAAACCATTCCAAACGGTTATTTCTAATCCTACCTATTTCTAGGTGTTTGGAACGTGCGACTTAATTAATCTTATTACCTCATAGACAAGATAAAAGATTAATTTCTAATGATTAGTTAATAATATAAACAATTCTATTAATTATAAAATATTAATTCATTTTCTAGCAATTAATCCAATTACTAATTAAAAGATAAAATTAAATTGGTTAAATCTTTATTCCGAATCTTAACCCATATAAAATTACCAATTCATTTTCTTAAATAAAACACCCAACATCATCATATCAACGTATAAAATTCTCAAAGACAAATTAAACATCAGTAAATTTTAAAGTAAAGAAATTATTATTTTATTAAAAAAATATTCAACAACAATTCAAGAAGAAAAACTTACAGTGCTCCGAGAACTTGAAAATTAACTTTGGATGATGAAAATTAACTAACACATTTAGTACAATATTTGGGGAAGAAGAGAATTTCACCGCTAAAAGGTGCAAAATTATAATTTTCTAAATTGCAGAATATGATTCTCAGATTGTATAAAATTATTCAGAATTAAATGTTGAATTTAAATATTTAATTTGTAATTTTGGAATAAACTGTTTCGGTAATTATTTGAATTTCCAAAACTAAATTTCTTAAATTACATAATTAATGTTTAAATTATGGAAATTTAATATTTGGTAATAATATCATAATATTCTTAGAATAAGTATTTTTGGAATTATTATGATGTACAAAAACTAATTTTAGAAATTGTTTTTATGAATTACCAAATAATAAATGGAAAGAACCGAAAATAAAATTTAAGAAAACTCTAGAAATTTGATTTTCATATTGTATATGAGTTTAAAACTTTAGTTTGGGAAAATATTGATTTTTGGAATGTTTGGAATTTTCTAAATTAATTTTGGAAATAAATTTAACTCTTTTGGAAATAAATTCCATAATACTGAAAATATAATTTACTAAATCTGGAAATTTGATTTTCAGAGTATATCTGATCCAAAATATTTAATTTTGTAAATTATTTATTTTTGAATATTTGAAATTAATTTTGGAAATTAAATTCGAGTCTTATACAATTAAATATAGAACTTCGAAAAATAAACTTTTATTAAATTCTAGAAATTTGATTTTCAGAGTTATAAAATCAAGAGTAAATTCCCAAAATAGTCCTTTGTAATAAGGGGTTTTCCCAAATTAGTCCCCAATAAGTTTTAATTACCTACATGGTCCTCTATAATTAAGATTTATTCCCAAAATAGTCCTTTGTAATAAGGTGTTTTCCCAAATCAGTCCTCAATAAGTTTTAATTACATATGTGGTCCTCTATAATTGAGATTTATTCTAAAGATGGTCCTTCGTAAATAATGTTACTCAAATGAGGATTAATTGAGGGTATTTTTTATTTGCTAAATTTAGAACTAATTCTTAAAATAATCATTTATAATGAAGTATTTTTTCAAAATGGTTTTTCTAATTAAAGATGTGTATTGGATTTGAAATTTTAATTTTTTTTAAGTTATAAATAATTCATAAATTATTGATGAGTAAGTTCTCAAAATAATCCTTTGTAATAATTAAGGTGTTTTTTCCAAATCAGTCCTCAATAAGTTTTAATTACTTATGTGGTTCTCTATAATTGATATTTATTCTCAATATGGTCCATTATAAATAATGTTACTCAAATGATGATTTATTGTGAGATATTTTGGTATGTTGATCATCCAAATTTAAATTATATTCTCGAAACAATCATTTTTGTACAACTAAATGTAAATTTTAAAAAATACATTGACTATAAATAATTTATGAATTATTTAAAACTTAAAAAAATTTTTAAATTTCAAATCAAATACACATCTCTAATTAGAAAAATCATTTTGGGGAAGCACTTCATTATAAATGATTATTTTAAGAATTAATTCTAAATTTAGAGGATAAAAATTACCCTTTATTAATTCTCATTTGAATAACATTATTTACGAAAGACCATCTTAGGAATAAATCTCAATTATAGAGGACCTTGTAGGTAATTAAAACTTATTGAGGACTGATTCAGGAAAACACCTTATTATAAAGGACTATTTTGGAAATAAACCTCAATTATAAAGGATCACGTAGGTAATTAAAACTTATTGAGGACTAATTTGGGAAAACATCTTATTACAAAGGACTATTTTGAGAATTTACTCTAAAATCAAAATACATATCCTAGAATTTATTTATTAATTTTCAAAAGGTATAAGTATTTATTTCGAATTAGAAACCCAATTTCGAAATTAATACCCATATTTACGGCAATAATATATTTTAAAATTCAGGAAAATTCAAAATTAAATTTTGGGTATTCTAGAGTTTTAAAATATATTCAAATAAAATTATTTGATAATTTTTAAGCTTGTAGTTTATTTTTCTTAGAATAAACGAGGTTTGGGCATAGTTGCGGCTTGCCCGGTGTATGGATTTTATGCATGTTATGTATGAATGTTTGCAGGGTGCATGGTTGTGGCTTAGAATGCGTGATTTTTAAATACGGCTTGCATGTTGCGCCCCATCTATAAATTCTTGTTGTAAATATCTTCTTAAACCTCATACCCCTTGCTCACACATCAATTAAACAAAGAAGCAAAGAAGATGAAGGATCCATGAAGAAGAAGACATTAGCAACAAGGGCTGAACTTGAAGCTGAAGCACTCTTAAAGAAAGAAGGTGAAGCTGGAGATAGAGATCTCAAGTGAAGGCTTTATCGTTAGTTTCTTTAGAAGAACCATGTCACGTTTTATTCATTGTACATGTTTGTCTGTTTGAATGTATGCTTGTATGATATTCGGTAGTGTATGTGCGCGGCACATACCATAGGTGAGACCATGCTTAAAATCCCTCGTAATATTAAGTCTGTGTCTTCTGACGCCTACTCACTCGTATTGACCAGTCAACGGACACGCCAAAGCGGGACGCCCGATTAACATTTGGTATAGTATGGCGCAAAATCAGTAAGAATGGATACTGAGTACACCCCAGGTTGGATTTAACTAAGTTAAGGTAAAAGGATGAATAACTTAGAGGCACATGGTTAGGTTTATAAATAAAATCAAATTCATCTAGCCAGAGTTTTAAAGTGTTACAATTGGAAATAGTTCCTACTTGAAATAGTTTAACTATAGGGCAAGATGCAAAGCACAACTATAGTTAGATGAAATAAGAATCTAGGCCATATATAGGATTTTATTTAAAAGAACCTAGAAAAAAGGTATTTTAATTGGGTTACAATTGGAAATAAGTTCCTACCTATTTAGTTTAACAATAATAGGGCAAGATGCAAAGCACAACTATAGTTAAACGTAATATGGACCTTGGCCCAGTAAGATATCTCTTTAGGAGAAGTCTCGAATCAATAGGTTACGTACTTAAGGGTAATTGTTTTGTTAAAATAGTGGGAGAGTTTTTAATTAAAGACCTAATTAATTATTTAATTATATTCTTGATAATATCTATTTTGCAACTCATTTATAGTAATGTAACCTAGTTCTGCAAATTACATGTAACTCCTAAAATCAAATCACAAAATTGAGAAAGTGTTCTCAAATTTTGAAAGTAAGTTGTATGTCTTTGAGGAATAAAAATGTTTTGGGAACATTAAAGATTTAGAATAAATCATGCTCATTTCAATGACTTCTCCTATTAGAAGTGCAGAGAATGTCTAAAAGGTAAGATTCGATCTACACCTAGTATAACTCTAGCGAGAGCACACATGAATAATTCAAAATCTTAAGATTGTTCTCAACTATAATTAGCAAAGGAGATTCCCATTTAGGTTTGTTACTCTCAAGATAATTGAAGCTTGAGACAATGGGATTCATATGCACGAAACGTTGGTTATAGACCTTTTAACAAAACGTTGCTATATATGATTAGTCTTCTTGTCACATGTATGCTCGGTAAATGACAAGAATAGTTGAGTAAAATTAAGGAAAAGGGCGAGAAGAAGAAGTAGGGACTAACAAATCGGTCAGTGGAAAAGATGTAAGCGTTAGTACGCTCATATCCAAAACCACTTCTTCATCTTCCAAGCCCATACCTCAAACTCCTATTATGGCAAACCCGCTAATAGAAGGACAACATGAATATCTATAAGAAAGATTAAAAGGAGCGATGACTTCCAAGTTGTGTATTTAGTTATAGAGGTAAATTAGTCTACATTTATGAAACAGGTACTAGATAACGAGACTTGGGTCTCACATCCGTACCATGAAGCAAGTGTTGCATAATTATAGACTAATAACCAAAGAAAAATGGTTGAAGCACACGTTGGACCAAGTGTTGGGTTTTTGGCCTTGTGCAAGTATAACTCAACCATACCTATTGGAGTGGTGCTACAATTAGAGAATTGTTTGTAAAGTACCTACAAAAAGTGAAACAATCATTTATGAGTCTTATTTTGACAAGAATGCTTTTCGATTTTCAGTTA